TACGGTATCGGGATGGCAGCAGGGATTGTTTTGCTGATTCTCCGTCGTCCCTCTTCCCCCCTACTCCGTCTTCCCGTCACTGGAGAATGTACGGGGCGGATGTCGTGAGTGGGTTTCAGTGAAAGTCCTCACTCCGTCGGAGTCCGACTAGGAGGACACGCACATGGCTGATGGGGTGTTCGATGTCCGCCGTGAGAGAGCACGGCTGACTATGGAGGGCTTGGTGCCTCCTCTCCACTGACCTTGGCCTGCTCGTCGCGCACCAATCTGGCCAGGGGGATTCCGGGGGTATTAAAAATGGTCGGGGAAGACTTAGAACCCTTGGGATCACGCCCCTCTTGGACACGAGCGAGTTGAGTAGCCGCTCCTTAGTGTCTCACTCGAGTGCCACAGTCTCCAGTGAGCCCTCGACCCGGATGGCAAACCAGAATACTCGTGGGATGATCAAGGTGTTCATATTAAAATAAAGCATGGCCTTTCTTATCATGCACGAGGTCTGACAGCTGCTTGCAGTGGCCTGGGCGTTCCTTGGCAGCCAGCACTGCTCTCTGTTTGGTTGACTTTGTCTGAACCCTACACAATGCACCGATGATGCTGCGCAATTAAAGCCCACGCATGAATCCTCCTAGGTACTCTGGGCTCACGAGGGGCCGCATGAGGCACAGGCGGAGGAGGGGGCGGGGGAGGCACGACCAACGACGGCGGCGTCCACGACGACAGGGCAGAGGCAGCACACGTGGGGGGGGAGAGGCTCTTCTCTGGGGCGGCCAAAGCTTTGTTCTTTCTGGGTGCAATCGCGGGCCACTCTCCCAGAGCCTGAGCAACGTACTTGAGATATTTCGTAACAAACTTCCTATCTTCGGCAAAATTGCACTTCTCATCTTCGCTGGGCTGAACGCCCTTGTGTGCTGCGGCCTTCGCTAAGCGATCCGCAGCGTCATTACCTTCTGCCATTCGACGGGCCTCGCTGCCTACGAGTAGGGCTTGTGTATCTTGATGGCCTCTGACCTTTTGGAGCCTCGACCCTAAAGGAAAGAGCCCTCGGCCAGCCAAGGCTTTAAACCCAGCCCGCAGATTGCGACGGGGGTACTCGGTGCCTTGATGCAGCACTAGTACTCTGTTGTAGTCAGAATAAATTACTTCAACATTGCTAGATATAAGACTGGCCGCGACTGCAGCCAAATGCTCCGCGGCTCCCGACGTTTTTTTTTCAAACAATATATATATATATATATATATATATATATATATCTGGCCGGCTCGGCCACTGAAATGGGCAAACACTTCGCCTTCTCTGAAACAAACTACAGCGAAACCAGCAGCGTTGAGCACGTAGTGCCCATGATTGGTGCAACTGCCATCTATGAACACCCCCCCCCCCCCCCCCCTCGCTGAAGGCCTCTTGAGGCTTGATGCCTTCTTGAGCGCACCAAAACTCCCCAAACTCCAATCCAGATCCAGGAGGGGCACTCCATGGAACTCAGGGACCAGCTGGAACCCAAGACGTAAAAGGGGGGCCTGGGGATGGGGGCTCTCCTAAACGCTGAAGCGCCGCAACCGAGAAGTGAGTGGCTCTGAGAACTTCAGTCTTCTGGCAGCGCAGTAATCTGTGGCAGAGGTTGTCCGAGTGATGGCCGCGCTCGCAGCCGACTGAAATTTCATGTCCTGCTGCTTTGGCTCTCTCCATGGTTCAGATACTTTGGGTGAGGAAGGCGAGCAAGGTGCCTTTGTGATGTCCAGGAAGGTCTGGCGAGAGAGCCATCCGAGCAGCCGCAACGTCTAACTGAGCGTCCGCGCGGCCGAGCTTGACGGCCGCCTTGGAGGCGAGCTGGCCGTGCCAGTCATGCTCAATGGGCGTTTGGAGGAAGGCGGGGGAATGTCCCGGGAGTGGGCACTCAAGACCTGAGGCAGTCGCATAGGTAAACGACCCCGGGAATTTCCAACCAATGCGCTTCAAAGACAGCACCGCCGCACTGATGGGGCCCCCTGGAAGAGCCCCACGATTTAGAACCCTCGGGAGAATGTTTTCAGCCCAAGCTCGCAGTTGTTTGAGACTAGCCGCGGCCAAGTGCGGACGGGTGTTCGCATCCCAAACTAAACGATGCCACAAAATGGCGGGGCCGAGGGGCGCTTTCCACAAGGGGTCCTGGAGGATGAGCAGCGCCAGGCTGCTGCTGCGGGCCGAGCATCTCGGGCCCGCCGCGGCCAGAAACTGCGACCTAGCAGATTCAAGTTGAGTGCCGCTGATGCCAGTGAGCTCGACTCCAAAAGTGGTGGCCGTTTCCAGGCCAGTCTTATACAATTTGTGAGCGTTGCCCCCCCAGCACGTTTAAGCATGCGGACTTTGTTAAGTATGTTACGCATCTTGTCAAGACGCTCCGTCAGTTTTCGAAACTTCCACCGTCTTCTCTGGGGGCGGCCAGCCCCGGTTTCAACCCCCAGGTTGGGTCCCGAACGATCAGGGTTCGGGCCTGCCAGGGGCCCTAGCTGGGTCCTGAGCTGGTCCTGCAACGCTTTGTGAGACGCTAGCACCTGGGCCTTCTTGCTGGCAATCTGGCACTTAAGCTCGCGGATGATGCAATCCGCCATCCATCTGGCGGCTATGTTCAACTGGCTAACGATGAGGCTGAAACTGCGGCCGTGGCACTGTAGTAGCAGATCATCAATGCACATAGCGAGCCTCATGTAGCTATGGGCCTGTGTCCAGATGTCCAAGGGGGCGAGCACATACATCTGCACAAGGTACGTGGCCCAACTGCAGCCAGCAGCAATGCCCCTCCAATGTTTGCCGACGCTGACCGCGCAATCTTGCAAAGCAACGATACGTTCGCTGGCATACTGCGATAGAATGACGCGAAGTAAACAACAAGGAAACCCTGTCTCAACAGCACGATGCGCTAGACATGACCGATCAACATGTTCGTAGTAATTAGATAGATCATAGAGGGCCTGGGCGCTGTATTGTTGATGTTTGGGTGAGCTGTTGAACTCGCATTCCAAGGATTGTTTGTATACCAATTCCACAATCGAGTGGCCAGCCTGGTGAGCTAGATAAGGCCGACGACGGTGGGCTTCCCACTCCCTGGCTGCCGACCTCCTAAGGCGGGCCCAGACACGATAGAGCGCTGGTAGCATGCCAATAGACCGGAACGAGGGCTGACTGACTGGTGTATCATGTTGTTCCTGTTTAATCATAAGCGTTGAGACAATCCCCTGGAGCTTAGTCGGCACGTGACCAACCTATTCGATCAGAGCGATAAGTTGGCAGACGATCCCCGCCTGCTCATTATTCAACATACTGAAGTGCCCCGGGTGAAAACCGTCCCAGGTCGAAGCTGTGGCGCGAGGGAAACTCCGCGCAACTTGCCGAAGTCTCTCGGGGGTAATCGGACCCAGGGCGACACGGTCATCGGCGCCAGGAACGAGTTGAGGTGGGTCTCGGGGGAAACTTGCCATATATTTGCTAAGCGATCAGCTTCGACCTGCAATATATGCTGGGGCCTGCCTGTGTACTGAGACTGGTATTGCACCGATGTCGGGCGCCAGGCCTCCAGCAGTTTGGACCATCTGTGAGCCCATCCCATTCCCCTGTTCATGTCAGACTGAACCCATCCCCCCCCCCCCCCCCCCCCCCCCCCCCAAGCCCTCCCATCTGCGGCATTCTCCGCCGCCTGCTCCTGGCGCAGGAGCTTGGCGATCTGCTCCAGCAGCTCGTCTAGTACTTGCAGCGCCAACGTCTGATCTAGAACGCCAGCCTGGAAATCAATAAGTAGCAAACCTGCGGCTACTCGCATATCCTGAAGCCCCTCCATGAGGGGCACCGCGGTGGAGAACAACGCGGGGCACTCCTCCAGGCTGTCCAGGACTTCTTGGAACTCAAGCAAGTCCCAGTCCTGAATACAGCGTCTGAATTCCTGAACTCGGTTACACAACCATCTTAACGGGCCCGTATAGGCCACCCATTTGGCTCTGCCGCGCGCCGCTTTGGCCCCCGCGGGAACCTTGAGAACCTGAGGGGGGGTGGGCCCTGGGGAACGTGCTGGGTTTAATAGGGGTGTTGGTTCTCCTGCTGATTGTAACTTCCAAGTCCTGGGCCAGGGTGAAGTACACGTGGTCCAGGATCGCAGTCGACTGCTGATCGGGGAGAGGCCGTTGAGCATCTTCGATCAATTGCAATGCATAATCCATGGTCGCGGCAGTCTGGTGCCAACTCGCTTCTGGTAATTGCGGGCCCACTGGGATATGGGCGGGCAGCTTCTGGGGCCTATGCAGCGAGGGGATGCAACAGTTATTCTGGGCAACGATATCCAACAGCACGGGCCTATGAAGGGAGAGAGGGTAGGAAGCTAGGGCGCGGGGGTTCTGGAGAAAAAGGCGCGAGGCCTTGGCTGGAGACAAACTAGTCGAGAGTCGACTTGGTCTTCTTGCTTCTGTCGGTGGCTGTCGGGGGCGCGAGCGCGGCCATAGTGGACCTGGACAGAAACTCGGCCTGGGACAACCTGGCGGGGGCCAAATTGAAATCCCCCGCGACCAAAACTGGATGCGCTATGTCATCCTGAAGTTGGCCTATGGTGGCCAAGAGGTTTAAACTGGTCTCCGAGAGACCAGCAGCAGCTTGGAAATACGTTGGACACAACGCAATTTTGTGGGCCCCTGGGGGCTCCAGGATCACCCCAGACAAGCGAGCGGGCTCACACCCCGAGGGGATCAGCAGAGGTTGCCCCCCCAGGTCCAAATCATCCCGAATCAAAATCGCTACTCCCGAAATTGGCTCATTGGTGGGGGTCGCTGCAGCAGGAGTTATGTAGGCCAGCCACTCTTGAGACGCGCACCCTTGTATCTGGCGCACAATGCTACCGCCTTCGGCTAACTTACACTCCTGGACACAAACGATAGTGACTGCGCTGGCCTGCGGTGATTGCAAAAACTTGCGAACGGCAGGCCAGCGCGATCCATTGATGGTGGCTAGCTTATAATTCTGGGTGCCCTGACGGCGGGACCTCACTTGCGACCACTGCGGCCGCTGCAGCCGCCCTGGCCTTCTTGGCCTCGGGGCCGCCGCCACCCTGGATCTTGGCCATGCCGTTGGCGACCTGCTCCAGTGCCGCAGCAGCCCGCGCACGGCCCTGCGACTGGTCCATCGGGGTCGCTTCGGCGGCGTCGGCGAGCGGGGCGTACTCCAGCTCCTTGTCGTCCATTGGCGTCGGTACATGGTGGCCTGGAATGGGCTGGGGCGCTTCTGGCCCATCAGCTCGTTCGCCAACTGCGGGGAAGCCGTCTGGTTCCTGTGCTGGTTGAGACCCTTTGCCCTTGCCATCGCCCTTCGCCTGGGTCTCCACATACGTGGTGTGCTTGTGCTGCATGTTGCCGAACAGCTGCGCCAGCTCCGATACTTTAGCTCGTGGTTGCGGTGGGACCCCCCCCTCCCTCGGGCATGCGAGCGGCCAAAATGCCTTGGAGAGTGGTGAGCAAGTCCTCATCCCTGGATGCCTCGTACGCTGCTGCCTGGCTGGCCAGGTTGAGCTGAGACTCCAGGGACTGCACTTCTTTGGTGTTGATCTCAATCTCCTCGACCAGCTTGCCGTGGTGTTCGCTGGCCTCGACGATGGTGTGCACCAGCTCTGTCGCTTCTTTCTTCTGGGCCGTGAGCTTCTGGCGCGCGGCCTGCAACTGATCTGACAGCGACTGAGCTTGCTGCTCCAAACTCCTGGCGGACAGGGCCTGCGCCTTGGCGAACTTGAGCTTGCCCAGCGCTGACTTGTGCTCCTCTCCGTCTGGTTTCCACTTCTTCCAAAACGTGACCTGTGCTTGGGCCAGGGCCGCGGGATCTTCACTGTGGGCGTCGTCATCCGCGGCGGTGGCCTTTCGACCACCTCCGCGGCCCAGACCAGGGGGTAGCTCGGGTTCGCGGGAGCCTTGTCTCCAGCGGCCTGGCTTGGACGGTGGCACTTGCTCGCCATGCCGATCCTCCTGAGCTCCTCCGCCTCCCCCTGCTGGCCGATCTGCGTACGAAACTGTTTCCGTGCGCTGCTTGAGTCTATTGCCACACTGGATGCAATGGCGAGCATTAGCAGAACTCCAAACCCACCCTTTACAGCCACCCTTCGAGCAAATGACATACTTCCTCTGGGCCGCCGCCATCTCCTGTCTCCTCTGCGCCGCAGCACACACACAGGCAATGGGCCCAGCAGGTGGCACTGGTCGGGACGTGATTGTGCCTCTGCCTGGGGCTGACCAGGCTGGCACTGGGCAAAAGCGAAGGCTTGAACCCGAACACCCAGGGCCTTTCCTGGATGGCAGTGCTGAGTCCTGCACCTCCCGCGGTGTGCTCAGGACTTGAGCCAGAGTCCGACTAGGAGGAGGAGGAGGAGGAGGAGGAGGAGGAGGAGGAGGAGGAGGAGGAGCAGGAGCAGGAGGAGGAGGAGGAGCAGGATGAGGAGGATGGCAATCAGTACGGCCAGTGGTTTATTGGATGCTTCTGGGAATCTCTTCGGATGTCTCTTGAACTATCGGGGTTTTCTTGGCGTGTCGTTGGGGTCTTTTGGCGGTCCTGGGGGCCTCTTGCAGCGTCTTGACTGTTTCGTGTGGGGGCCTTTCCAGGGGTATCTTGGGAGCCCCATGGGGACCTTTTGGGGGCATGTTGGGGCCTCCTGTGCGTTGGGGCCCTCTTGGCGTACTCTTGGGAGCCTTGGGTGCCATCGTGGGGGGGGGGGGGAATTAGCGCCCCCCCCTCCCGGGAGGTTAAACTTGGCACAACACCACATCGAAATCACTGACCTGTGCCTTCTAGCCGAGGCCATCTTGGACGCTCCAACGCCTATCGAAACGCCTTGTCCAAGTCCAGGGGGAAGGGGTCGGGGAAGGGGTCAAGACACGCCCCCCGCCCGCAAGCTGTTTCGCACTTTCCCACCCGCCCTCCCAACACATAAGTCGCTCCCGAGCCTCAGCATGCTCAGCGGTCGCGTTTGGATAGGCAGCAACTGAAACCAACGCAGGTCCCATGTGCGCGACGTTTGGCCGAGGTGTGCCAGGCGCGCCATGTTCGCGCCAGGCAGCTCTTAAGCCCAAGCGTGCCAGGCACACCTGGCGCGCCAGATGCGCCACGTGCGCCATGTTTGCCACATGATCCTCCCGCGCCATGTGCGCCATGTTCGAGACACGCGAAGAGTGTGCCAGGCGCGCCCGTGCAGATGGCAGCACACATCGGGGAACATGTCCCCTCCCCTGCCATCCTTGTCGAAAGCCAATGCACAATCGCAGCGGGGAGGCCATCATGGTGCCTGGTGGGCTTGCACACACCAGGCCATATGCCAGCACCCCCGCCATCCTTCTGACAAACCAACGGACAATGATCGCGGGGTGGCCGCGCATGATCCATATTTCGCCACGGTGAGTATTTTGTATTGTTTTGACAGGGGCGGTGGCATTATGCAAAGCAGGCAATATGATAACCCCCGCCGTCCTTGACACCATTTCCCGAGCCGAGCCCAACCCCTTGTTCACGCTAGGCGAATATTTGTATGCACGCCCCCTACAGAGCATATCGCAAGACAGGTACGATCAGGGCTGCGATCATCTCCGCCGTGCCTCCCACGAGCCCACGAGCGTGGCGACAGATTCACAGTTCGTTGCCTCCCAGGGAGCTGCGAGGCCTCGATTGGATCTGCATGGCCCCCGATTCCGCTGGACCTCCCGGAAACCCACGAAAGTGGCGACAGATGGACAGTTCGCAGCCACCCTTAGATCGTGCATGTCCTCCTTCAGGCGGATTTTGGACGAAAGGTGAAGCATGCTCAACATAGGTTTTTTTTGTGAAAATTTGGAAATCATACCAAAACTATGTGTTCACTATGTCTGAGTATTCCTCTTGTAGAGGGACATGCCCTACTTAAAACCACACATGGAGCAGCGAGGTTTCAGATGGGCGCGAGTGGCCCCCGACCCCGCTGGACCTTCCAGGAGCCCACCAAAGTGGCCACAGTTGCGCAGCTCGCAGCCGCCCGGGGAGCAGCGAGGTCTCAACTGGTTGCGATTGGCCCCCGAGGCCGCTGGACCTACCAGGAGCCCACGAAAGTGGTGATGGTTGCGCAGTTCGCAGCCGCCCAGGGGCCGCCCCGGGATCAGCGAGGTCTCGTCTGGATGCGCATGTCCTCAGACTCCAACGGCCTTCCAGCAGCCCGCCGTGGCGACAGTTCCGCAGTTCGCAGCCACCCAGGGGTCTGCGAGGTATCGGGTATTCCCCTACTCCGCCAGCTTTTCCAGGAGCCCACTGAAGTGACGACAGTTGCGCAGTTCGCAGCCACCCTGGGAGTTGCGAGGTCTCGGGTACTCCCCTACTCCGCCATGTTTTTGAGGAGCCCACGAACGTGGCGACGGTTGCGCAGTTTGCTGTCACCGAGGGATCTGCGAGGGCTCGGGTACTGCACTATTCCGCAGTGCTTCCCAGGAGCCCACGACAGCGGGGACAGTTGCACGTTCGCGGCCACCCAGGGAGCTGCGAGGTCTCGGGTTCTCCGCTACACTGCCATGCCTTCCAGGAGCCCACGAAAGTGGCGACAACCGAGCAGTTCGCAGCCACCCAGGGAGTTGCGAGGTCTCGGGTACTCCGCTACTCCGCCGTGCCCGTCAGGAGCCCACGAACGTGGCGACGGTTGCGCAGCTTGCAGTTACCCAGGGAACTGCGAGGTCTTGGGTACTCCTCTAATCCGCCGTGCCTCCCAGGAGCCCACGGAAGTGGCGACAGTTGCGCCGTTCGCAGCCACCCAGGGAGCAGCGCAGGAAGAGGGGGGAGGAAGAGGGTGTGCGACTGCAGTGCTTTATTCAAAACGAGAAACCGGCACAGGAGGGCCGATACTAAATGCAAAGTTCTCGCGGCGCCCACCAGAATGACAGGAGAGTGCGCCCTGAAGTATACGCTGTATTGATTATTAACGGATGGTGGGTGGGCATTGTTCTTGGTTGGCTGCCGGTCAGCTGGGTGAGGGTGTGTTCCTTAGTAGGAAATAATGATAAACTCCTCCCCACATGGAAAATAATACTCTCTCGCCTACTCACGCCCTGAAGGGCTGGTGGGATTTCCGCTTGATGCGGCTTGATCCCGCTCAGTCTGGCTGAATACCGTTTAATGCAGCTCAATCTTGGATCGAATCCGGCCCCCTGCGGCCCAGCGGCCCCCTCATCGGGCTCAGTAGCCTTCGATCGTTCGGAGGAGGGCTTCCCGGGAGTGGCTCCCCCAATTTTTTGTTGTCGCTCTCCTGTCCACTGTGGTCTCCAGATTTCAGGAGAGAAAGAAGCACACAGACACAATTAATCGTATATTCCCAAGAAATATGGGAAAATATGGGAAGTGGGGGGGAAGACAAAAACCCAGAAAATATAGTAAAATACGGGGCATATGTTTATATGTGTGTATTTATTTGTGTGTCCTTTGGCCCCTTCAAGAGTGTGCAGGCACCCCAGAGTCCAGCGCAGCACGGGCCCAGCTCAGGAGGGCGTGTATGGGGCGAGAGACCGAGAGGGGGAGGGCGGCATTCGCTCGAGGATCGGGGGGCCTTCCTCCTCCTCCTCCTCCGTAGGCGCCCCCCTGTGCTTTTCGGCGTCTCTAACTTTTTTTGCCTCCTCCTCCTCCTCCTCCTCCTCCTCCTCCTCCTCCTCCTCCTCCCTTTCTGCTCCTAATTAGGGTGGACTTTGCGGCCTCGGGAGTGCACCCTGGGCCCCGATGTTTCCCGCCGTTTTCGGGCGCTCGGGGCCCTCAGCGGGCCCCGGGCTGTCCGGAAGCGAGGCAGGAGGAAGCGCCCGCCCCCTGCGGAGGTGGGGCAGGGGGGGGGGGGGGCCAGGAGTGGGGAGGGGAGGAGGAGGGGTGGGGCGAGCGGGCCCTCCCTCACCGAGAGCAGGAGAGCCCCCTAACCTTAACAAAACGATGAGGACGTGGCCTCACTGGGGGCCCCGTCTTCGCACTAGGGATATGATGATTCGGCGGTTTGGATTTGGTACACCTGCAGAAAATCCCCCCCGACCCTCCTGTGTTTGCCCCCCCTGACTTTGGCCCCCTCCCAAAGGGTGAGGGGCAAGGACCGACCTGGTTAGGTTGGTTTGGGCTCCTGTGTTGTTGTTCCTTTCGTTTGTCGTTGTTGTTTCGTTTCGTTGTTCGCTGTTGTTTCAAACGCCCCGTTTTGTCGTTTGTTTTCTTGTGCCTCCAGCTGCGTTTCAAAATTTCATTTTACGCATTATTGGGCCTCGTATCGTTGTCCTCTGCAAACGCCATTTCGTTTTCAACATCGTCGTGGTCGGTTCCAGGTCAGGGGCCCTTTTTTGGTTAACAACTCCCGTCTACACCTGCAGAAAAGACCCCCTATCCCTGATGTCAAAGGCCCTCCTAACTTAGGTCCCCTCCAAAGATGTTAGAGGCCCAGACATGCGACGTCCTGATTTGTTCATTAAGGCGTCCCCGGACGCCCCGACCCTATCCCCAGGGCTGGCTTTTTACCCGGTGGTGTTGCTTCACGGTCCCGGGGCCCGGCGAGGGCTTCCAGAGGCCGAAAACGGCGAGAAAGTTCCGTCCTGATTTCTTCACGACGCGAGCATGGTCGGGGATCCTTTTTTGGTTACCCTGACCTCCCACAGAGCTATGTTTTAGCACGGGAGGCCTAAAAGGCAAAACAACGAAACGAAGCAGCCTAACACCAAGACATATCATAGCTCTGGGACAGGTTTTTATGTCGCGTGCTATTTTTTGGCCCTCCTGGAAGGTCAGGGTACTCCAGATTTCGTAATAAAAGGGAGGGGGTCTGGACCCGCCAAGA